CCACTTAACTACTTATGAGACCTCATTGTCCCACAGAGCACACTTGCTTGCAAACAGGGCATGACAGAGCAAGAGAGCAAGAGAGCAATCCAATTGTGTGTGTGTGTGTGCGTGTGTGTGTGTGCGTGTGAGAGAGAGGGGGGAGGAAGGGAGGGACAGAGAGAGAGCGAGAGAGAGATACAGGGCACCCAAGCTGCTGACAGTGGCACAGGCAACAGGAGCCACCTGAACAGCAAGGTGGAGAGGTGATGGAGTACAAAGCAAGGCGGGGAGTACAGAGCTGCCCCCCTTGCCCCGTACTAGTTTACCTGAGCACCCCACCAGCCAGGCATTGATGCGCCACAACTGCCACCACAGTAAGATGGGGGGGGGTCTCCAAACTCTCTCTGACTCTCTATGAGAGAGAGCAAGTGCACAATCCCTGCTTTAGTTGGGCATTCAAACTGCTGGCAGTGGCAGGGGGGAGAGCCAACTGTGCAGCGGTTTTTCTCCCCATCTTTCCCACTCGAGCAGTGCAGGCTCTGCAGGACAGCAGACAGGCTTGGCGAATTCCAGCTTTAGTCGGGGCATGCAAGCTGCTGGCGGTGGCAGCCACCTAAGCAACCATGATTGCCCCCTCCCCAACCAGCCAGCCAGCCAGCCTTGCCTGCTCTGCGCCCTGCCAGCTGGCACAAAGCTTTTCCATTCTTCTCCTCATCTTCCCTGCCCAAGTTGCAGCGGGCTCCATGGGACAGGGTCTCATTCATGTCCCAGTGCAGCAAACTCTGGTGGGCTGTCTGCGGCTGTTAAGGGCCTAACTCTGCAGTGCTTCCTCAATCAATTGAAGGCTTCATTCAGCTTTTAAACAGTAACACGAGCACCAGGGCTACGGAGGGCATTGGTTCGTGCACGCGGCCAATTCCGATTCCACAGCCATCCTTACTGTTTTACTATTTGTGCAGAGCTGTCCCACCCACCCCGCCCTCTCCTGGTTTGCCCAAGGGCCCTCAGTTAGGCTAAACCTTCACCTCTCACTACCCTTTCCAGCTCCTTTTGCCACCATGTGCAGAGTAACTAAAGTAGTCTGTGGGACTACGGTAAAAAAATTAGTTCAGACCTTACAATTTCTCACAAAAAAAAAAAAAAAAATCTCGCAAGGTTGGAAGGTCTGAACTATTTTTTTTTACCATAGTCCCACAGACTACTTTAGTTGCTCTGTACATGGTGACAAAAAACTGGGCCAGTGTGCACGCATGCAGAGATGGCATAGGCTGGGCTGAAGTGATGCAGGCCAGACTCTTACACTTTCCAGGATAGCTACCTGGACCAGATTCAGCCTCATCATGGATGCACCCCGCAGGCCTTGAGTTTGACACCCCGACCTACAAAGCCCTTTCCAAGGCTGTTAATCTGTTAATAAAGGCATGGACAAAAATATTATAGTAAGAGCTTTTCTTTGTACATACTGAACTTGCATTTGAAAATTGATTCTGCAGGCTTGCTCATTATGAATTTTAGTTATAGTTTAGTTTAGTTCAGGGGTCTCAAACTCAATTTACCTGGGGGCCGCTGGAGGCAGAGTCTGGGTGAGGCTAGGCCGCATAAGGGATTCCACAGTGGCACTGCAGACGTCATTTCCGCTTGGCTTCTACTTGTCAGCGGCTCCTGGTTTTGCCTTTCCCTTCCCAAGGCAACGCGGGACTGGAGCCGTGTGGAGCAGCGCCGGCAGTAGCAACTCCTGACAGCCCCAGCCAGACACCTGAGTGGAGCCCAGGAGGAGCTGCCTGTTGCTACTGCAGGCGCTGCTGCGGGTTTCTGGCTGCCCAAGTAAAGAACCGCACCAGCTCAGGGCAACTGTGAGGAGCAAGAGGGGAAGCCGGACCATTGGAGAAGCGGAGCAAAGCTGGAGATTAGTAGCTGCCTCTTTCAGCGCAGAAAGCTTCCCCCAACCAGCAGGCTGGTCTCCTCCTCGGCCATACAGAACAAACAGGCAGAGAAGGAGGAGAGCAGCTGGCCAGTTGGGGGAGGCTTCTTGTGCTGTGAAAGAGGTGGCTAATGATCTCCGGCTCCGCTCTGCTTCTCCAACATCCGGCGATGCCCTGTTCTATGTGCTGGCTGCTCGGACTTGCCGGGCCCGAACATCAGCCATGACGAGGAACGGTGGGCGGGACTTCCTTCAGAGGTCCATTCCCCCTGCAGGCAAGACAAACAAACAAACAAAACATAAAAACATCAAGCCATCTTCCACATATATACATAGTGTGCCAGTTAGTTTACAAATTGTTTTGTGCTTCCATTTTGTAGTCTTCAATTACAATTACATTGTATATATTCTCATATTTTCAATCAAATATTAAATACATTAATATCATCAATCATTTGACTATATTTTTATTCATTCATGTTTTATGAAATAATCCATATTTTACTTAATTTGTTTTATAACAGTTCATATTATCATCTCAAATCTATCCTACAATCATTTTGTAGATATAATAAGAAAAGAATACATCTTTATATATTTATTATTTTCTAAGAATCTACATATTTCATTACCATGTTTTATTGGCTAACCATTGATAGAATAGATCCCAAATTTTATAAAATTGTTTATCATCTTGTTCTCTGATTTCAAATGTCAATCTACTCATTTCAGCACATTCCAATATTTTTAAAATGATTTCCTCCTGTAATGGTATTTTCTCATTTTTCCAGTTCTTAGCAAATACAGTCCTAGCCGCTGTTAATACATTTACGATCAAGTATTTCAATTCTTTACTATATATTTCAGGTAAAATTCCCAATAAAACTATCTCTGTTTTCAAATCTATATGCTTTTTTGTCATTTTTTCCAACCACGTGTGGATTTTAGTCAAATATTTTTTAGCATCCGCACAAGTCCACCACATATGGTATTATGAGCCTGGTGTCTGATGACATTTCCAACATTTTTCAGATTTGTTTTTGAACATTCTTACTATCCTTGTCAGGGGAAAATGCCACCTGTAAAACATCTTATACAAATTTTCTTTATATGCTGTTGACATTGTCATTTTATAATTTTGAGACCACAATTTTTGCCATTTCTCTAGATCAATCCCATATCCAAAATTCTTCCCCCAAGCAATTATTGTTTCTTTAACTTGTTCTTCTAGTTTAATTTCTAATAAATATCCATACAATTTTTTAATCACCTTTTCATCAGTACCTGTCAAAATCCTATCTAAATCAGTCAGTTTGTCATAGAAACCTTCTGTTTTAGAATCTTTATCATACCTTGAATATATTTGCGTGTATGAAAACCAATTCATCTTTATACCTTGTTCCTCTAATTTTTGCATAGATTTAAGTTCACCCTTTTCGTTCAATATTTCACCATATCTGTTTGTTCCTTTTTATATATTATAGGATAAGAAAATGCTTCAATAGTCGATAGCCAGACTGGAATTTTCAAATAACATTGTCTTTTAGTCTTCTCCCAGTTTAACCACAGAGACTCCCGTATATAATGTCTTCTAAAATACCACTGTGTTTTAGTTCCTTTATACCATAGAAAAGCATACCACCCCAACAACAGATCATGTCCTTCTAATTTCAACAATCTAGTATTTCTTAATGTTATCCATTCCTTAACCCACATCAAATTTGTAGCTTGGTAATACAACTCCCAATTAGGCAAACCAAATCCTCCTCTTATTCTGAGATCTTGCAAAAGTTTTAACTTTATTCTCGCTTTCTTACCTTGCCATATATATTTCAACACAATTTTATTTAAATCTTCAAAGTAATCTTTTCCAAGCCTAATTGGAATTGTTTGAAACAAATATAAAATTCTGGGTAATATATTCATCTTGATTGTTGATATTCTCCCTATAAATGACAGTTGTGAATTTTCCCATTTTGCCAAATCTAGCGCTATCTGCTGCTTAAGTTTGATATAATTATTCTCTTTTAGTGGACTACATCTTGCTGTCAAATGTATCCCCAAGTACTTGATCTTATTCGTGACCTGAATTTTCAATAGATCTTGCCAATTCTTCCTTTTGTCTTGATAGCATATTCTTTGTCAAGATCTTTGTCTTATCTTTATTTATTTTCAAACCAGCCACCTTTCCAGAAATATCAAAGCCATTTGTTTTTCAGGGTGTGCCTCATAGTATTCCAAAGTGTCCAAGATTACTCTCATATTATCTTTAATTTGTCTCTTTGGCAGAAATCCATTTCTGCCAAAGAGGATGGACAAAATTGTTTAAGTATTTTTTAAGTCTTTCTGCCAATATTGAAGCAAAAATTTTATAATCTGCATTTAGTAAGGAAATAGGTCTATAGTTCTTGATTTGTAATGGATCAGCCTCCTCTTTTGGGACAAGTGTAATATAAGTTTCTGACCATGATTTGGGTATCTTCTTCTTTAACATAACTTCATTCATAACTTCTAGTAATGGAAGGTTCAACAATTCTTGTAATGTTTTATAAAATTCTGCCGGAAGTCCATCTGGGCCTGGTGCCTTTCCATTGTTTTGCTTCTTGAGTGCTTCAGTTAACTCCATCATCGTTATATTGCTTTCTAACTTTGTTTCAATCTCTTTAGGTATCTGGGGTAGATTAGCATTCTGTAAGTACTGTTTAACTCTTTCCTCAACAATATTCTCTTGTGTGTATAGTTTCCCATAATAGCCTCATATGATTTCCTTCTTCTCTTTACTACCATAGCAAACTTGGCCTTGGTCATCTATTAATTGCAATATTTTCCTTGTTTCTTTCTCCTTTCTCAATTTATATGCTAACCATCTACCTGGTTTATTTGCATCTTCAAAGTAGTTCTGTTTCACACCTCTGATTTTCTGTGCTACTTCTTCCTTTTCCATTAGTCCCATTTTATGTTTAATTATATCCATTTTTAACTTAATGTCCTTTTTCTGTGGCACGTTCTGTAACTCTTTTTCAAGTCCTTTTTACTTATCCTCTAATGTCTTAGAGGCTAGTCTTTTCGTGGTATTTCTTTTCCTTGTATAATCTATTATCAAGCCTCTGGCATATGCCTTCATTGTATCCCATACATTCTGCATTGATGTATCTTCTTTTTTGTTTTCTCTAAAGAAGAAAGCCAGTTCTTTCTCCATCCACTGTGTGAAGTCTTTTTCCTTTAATATAGTATTATTTAATGTCCATCTAGATCTTCTTTGTCCTTTCCATTTCATTGTCATTGGATTGTGATCTGCCCAAGTACTTGTTTCAATATTTATTTCTTGAATATTAGCTAACAGTTCTGTTGAAATCCATATCATATCTATTCTGGACCATGATAAATGTCTGTTTGAGTAGAAGGTGTATTGTTTAGTCTTAGCATTTCTTTCTCTCCATGTATCTTTTAAATTTATTTCATCTGTCATTTTAAAAAAGGATTTAGGGAGAGTCTTTCTGTTTTGCTTTGTTGTTTTCTGTGCTGTATAGTCCAGTTTATTATCTACAATTCCATTAAAATCTCTCATCATAACTATATTAGCATAGTCCAGTTCAATTATTTTCATGTGTAATTTTTTGTAGAATTCTTTTTGTTTGTCATTCGGGGCATCGATTGCAATCAGGAGTGTTTTCATATTATTGTCCATTATTTCCACCATTAGTATTCTTCCATTGTCATCAGTATGGATCAATTTCGCTGGGATAATATCTTTAATGTATAAAACCACTCCTCTTTTCTTGCATTGTGTCAAAGAAATAAATATTTTCCCTAATTTTGGCTGTATCAGCAATTGTTCATGTTGCTTTTTGATATGTACTTCTTGTAGGCAGATTATATCAAATTTTAATTTTTCTAATTTATGGAAAAATTTTCCTTCTTTTAACAGCTGAGTTAAGTCCATTTATATTAATTGTAATCAGTTTTTTCTCTTCCATGGTTATATTTTGTAGTTAGGTTTAGCAGCTCTCGTAGTTCTTGGTTCACGTTGTTCTTTGGCTTCCACCTTTCCTCCTACTGCACCTTCTTCTTTTTCAGTCACCATTTGGCAGTCCTCTTGCAATTCAATTAGTGACATTTCTTTTCCTGCCTCCTCCTCTTTCCCTCCAAAAAATTCTGTGTAAAATGATTCAGCTTCCTCAATTGAGTCAATTCTATGTCTCTGTTCTTGCCATGTGAACATTAAACTTTCTGGAATCAGCCATCTATAATTCACCTCTTTTTTAAGTAGCATTTTGGTCAGAAATCAGTATTCTCTTCTCATCTCTCTCACTCTTCTGGGTACTTGTTTCATGACCACAATCTCCTTGTCTTTATATTTCAATGTTTTCTCTCTTGCCACTTGCAATATTTGCGTTTTAATGGCTTTCTTTGTAAATCTGATGTGAACTTCTCTTGGTAAGCTATTTCTCATTGTATATCTTGTGAAGACATCTATTCCATCCATCATCTTCTCTTTAGTTATTTCCAAAGCTTCAGACAAACTTTCTATCATTATCTCAGCTAGGTTTTGTCCCTTTTCTTCCTCTATGTTTTGGAATCTGAGATAAAATTCTGATCTGTCCATCTCCCATCTCAACACCGCACTTTTATCTTGTTCAACCACAGTTAATCTGCTATCAATATCTCCAATCTTCTTATCTCTTTGTTTATCTTCTTCAATTTTTTGGAATCTCTCATCATACTTCATCATCATTTGTTGATTGTTCTCCACCTTTTCATCAGTTTTCCCTGTTCTTTGTTCAATGTTCTCTGTTCTTTTTTCAATATTCTCTGTTCTTATTTGAATATTTTGAATTCCTTGCATAATCATCTCAGGTATAAAAGGATGCATAGCAAAAAAAAGAAAGCCACAAAAAAAAACAACCAATATGGAAGGTAAATAGAAAAAAAAAGGGAGGGAGACAGAAAAAAGAAAAGAGACTACTCCCTTAAAAAGAAAAGGAAGGAAATCATTAATACTAAAGGTTTTCCTTTAAAATAAAATGCAAACGTAAAAATTAGACTTCAAAAGACAAAAAGAAAGACAAAAACAAGTTCCAAAAGGCCAAAAATGGAATAAAATCGTTTTGATCAGTATGTATATATCTACTTAGTATTTTTTTTAGTCTCTCAGCCATTAAATTAATAAATATTTTGTAATCGGCATTGAACAAAGAAATTGGTCTGTAGTTGTTTATGTGGGTGATATCTGCACCCTCCTTCGAAATTAATATGATTTACACTTCTCTCATGACCTTGGTAGCTCTGCCCCTTTAAGTATTTCATTATAGATTTCTAAAAGAATTGGGTCAATAATTTCGCCTAAGTTTTTATATAATTCTGCAGGTAAACCATCTGTTCTGGGAGTTTTGTTGTTGCTTTTTGTTTACTAATTGCTTCTTTTATTTCCTCTATAATAATCTCTTTATTTAATTTTTCTCTTTCTTCTTCCAATAGTATTGGAATATTTTCTTCCTCTAAATACTGTTTAATTCTCTCTTTACTCATATTTTCTTGTTTATAGAGTTCATGAAAATACTCCAATACTATTTCTTTTTTCTTTTCCATATTTTTTGTATCTTTCCCTCCTTATCTTGCAATTGCTGTATCCATTTCTTCTCCTTTTCCTTTCTTAACCTATATGCAAGCCATCTTCCTGGCTTATTTACATTTTTTAAATAATTTTGCTTTACTGCTTTCAATGCTCTTAAATTTCTTTCCTGTTCAAATATATTCAATTTATGTTTAGCTAATTTTCATTTATTTATAATTTGCTCATTTTCTGGTGCTAATTGTGCTTGTCTTTCCAATTTTCTAATATCATTCTATAACTAGTTGCTTTTTCTTTTTTCTTTCTAGCATTATAAACAATTATTCTTAGAAAGGCTTTTGTTGTATCCCACAGATTCTGTAAAGAGGTGTGTTCTTTTTTATTTACATCAAAAAACATTTCTAATTCTTTTTTAAATTTTACTATATATTATTTATCTCTATATTACTATATATTATTTATTTCAATGTCCACCTTCCTCTTTGTTTTGACTGACCTTTCCATATTACTATAATGGGGTTGTGATCTGCCCACATATTTGGTGCTGTTTCTATTCGTACTATGTCTTTCATTAGGGTTTTGCTTATCCATGTCATATCAATTCTTGACCATGATTTGTGGGGAATTGAATAAAAGGTGAACTGCTTTTCTTTTGGTCTGTATATTCTCCATATATCACTTAGGTTCTGTTTTCTATTATGTTAAAAATGTTTTTTGGAGTGAATTTTTCTTTTTTTTTTAATGGTACTTTGATAATCTTTTTTTATATCCAAGACTGCATTGAAATCCCCTATTATGCAAATTTCTTCTTTGCCTAATTCAAGAATTTTTTCATGTAATTTTTTGGTAGTAAGCTTCTTGTTGTTTATTGGGTGCGTAAATTACAACTAATAGAATTTTCTTCTGTTCCCATACTACTTCTAATATTAGTGTTCTCCCTACCACATCTGTGTATAATACTTCTACTCTACTCCTTCTCTAACATATACTACTACTACTCTTTTTTTTCCCCCTCTAATGCTGCGTATAAGTTTTCTAATTTTTTATATTGCAAAAACCTCTTATCTTGGGCTCTAACATGTACTTCCTGAAGACATACTGTGTCCATTTTTTGTTTTGCCAATTTTTTCAAAATTTGATTCCGTTTCGCTGGGGAGTTAAGTCCATTTATAGTTACTGATAATATCTTCAAATTATTATCCATTTTCTCTCTTTGCCTTTACCAATTAGTTCCTGTAATTCCTTGCTTCTTTTTGTGCTCTTGTTCTTATTCTATTTTCTTCTTGTGGTCTTTCTTCCTTCTTCCTTTTCTCCTCTTCCTGCTCTATTCCATTCTTTTCCAGTTGTTGATCATCTTGATGAGCCGATTCCAGTTCTTCTCTGCTACTACCGAGTTCCTCTGTGCCTGATAGTTGTTCATGGAATTCTTTCACTTTCTCCAATGTGTTGATCTTGACTTTCTTCCCTTGCCATGACACCAACATTCCCTCTGGTGTAATCCACCTAAACAATATTTTTTTTTGTTGAGTCAGGCAGCCAGAAAGTGATAATCTTTCCTTTGTTCTTGAACTCTTTTCAGGACCTGTTTTAATGTTATGATCTCTTTACCTTTATATGTCATAGGTTCCTCTCTAGTAATCTTGTAAATTATGTCCCTCACCTTTTTCCAAGCAAAACGAATGTGAACCTCCTTTGGTAGTCTGAATCTTCTGGCATAATTTGTATAGAGTCGGTAGACTTCATCTAATTCATTGATTATCTCACTCTTCTCTCTTTGAAGTGCTTCCGCAGTAGTCTCTGCCATTATGTCTGTCAGGTCTGCCTCCTTCATCTCTACCACATTCTGGAAACGTAAGGAGAATGAGGCCCTCTTCATCTCCAACTGTATCAGTGGGTTCTCTACTTCTTTGTCTCTTTTTTGCATTCTTTGGTCTACTGACTCTAATTTTCTTTCTGTTTTTTCCGTTCTTTTTTCAATCGTTTGGAGTCTTTGTTCATTCTTGTAGAATTTCTTGTATCTGGCCAACTTTCTCATCCAACTTTTGGATATCCTTTCTCACTTGTCTCTTCACCTCCTCCATCTCTGTTTTCACTTCTCCATGGTACTTAGTCATGTTTTCCTGTAATTTCATCATTGTCTCCTGATTTGTTAACAGTGTAGCTTGCATGGTCTGTGTAGTCATTGTAGCTGTTGTTTTCTCCATTGTGAGCATTCCTTCAATGGATCTTTGTGTAGATGGTGATGAGATCACTGTAACTGTTGTCGGGGTGGATTTCTTCCCAGTCTTCACTACTGTTGTTGTAATGCTTGTCATTTTGTGAATTAATTTGGTTTGTTGTCCTAATATTCTTTCTATCTTATCCCACAACACCATTCAATGCTCACTATTTTTCTAGATTCTGTCACAGTCCCTATTCTTCCCTGTAATCTGCCCTTCTATGACTTCTATTGAATCTTAAATAAGTCAATAACTTTCACAAATTAATTAATCTGTACAGTTATGCCAATCAATCCCAAAATCCAAAGTTATTTATATTAATTCCTTACCACTATATTACTTTTTAATATTCTGATATATATCTATTTATTTTTACCTTAAAACTTTATATTACTTTAATGCATTTAATATTAAACTATTTAAACAGTTAATTACTTAACTGTTAAACTTATCTATAGATTCTTATCGCTAATAATCAATTTAAATATTTTAATTTACTATACTTATTTTACAGCACATTTAATAGTAATAAGGATCAGCTAACTGTACAATTCCCAGGATAATTCAATCAATAAGTTTCTTGGAAAATCTCTATCTTAAGTTCTTTAACTTATATTATAGTATATAGCACTTAAACAGTCACTTTTCTCTATTTATAAATATTCTTCTTTACACTCTATTAGCCATATAAATCATTCAATATATATTCAAGTATTTAGATATTTTAACTTCTAATATAATCACTAAGGAAAAAGAGAGGAAAGATGAAGAGAAGAGAGGAGAAGCCAATAGAAACATAGTTTAGTTACAGTACTTTCGAATATACAGACAATATTTCTAATAATCACAACTTTCCTTTCATTCTCCACAAAGGTTATTCTATGTTTTTTTACTTCTAGATATTAAACGTTTAAACCATTAGTTAATTGATAGTTTCACATATACAATCAGTTACCTAGCTCCAACAGTTAATATAACTTTATAAATTAATGGTTCTATGTTCCAATATATCTTTAGTAACAATTATACTTTACTAAGAAGTACAAGTAAACAATATCTTTAAAGTCTAATCAATATATAATTATATAAACCTAAATATTTAAGGGTTTTTATCACAAAATGCCACTAAATATCAAACGTTAAAAAAGAAGAAAAGAAAGAAAAGAAAAGATCAACCACAATATTCTTATATGTATTATAATCACAGATAACAATTGATTTTAGATTTGGAAGTTCCAATTAGATTGCTTAAGTCTTACTTTAATATTAGTGGCTGTAGACTTAAAGAGTTAATTTTAACTTTCCACCTTCAAAATGTCCGACTCTCCAAATTCTGCACTGTCACAGTCAATCTCCTTCTTTAGCCTTTATATCTGCTTCTTTGTATCTTTTGTTGTTATGATCAAGGAAACACAAAGAAAGTCCACTTCTCTGTTTCAATCAGTTCACTTTCACCTTCTCTTTCAAGTCAAATCACAGTCAGTCAATTACTTTCCCTTCTTCTTTGTTCTTTTCTTCTCTGCTGCTGGCAACACTATTCAGCCTCTCCCTTTTTCACTCACCTCGCTATTAGCTCTGTCCATGCACTGCATAGAGCTTTCTCCTTCGCTGTCTCTCTCTGGGTTTGCTCTTTCTTCAGCACTTTCCACCAAATCAAACACCTCTGTTCACACTGCTTTTAACACACTGTTCTCTCTCTTTGCTTCCCTTTTCTATCTTGTGAGACATCGGGTCTCCAGGTCGGCCATTGACAGCTGACACTTCAGCTCCAGCTTGACAGCTGACACTTCAGCTCCGGTTCGCTTCACTGAGGATCGCACCTTTCCATTGTAGCTCCAAAAGTTCCCCTCTTCCTCACCAATCCCCCCAGAACCGATTTTTGCTTCGGACGGCCACCAGAGTGCTGAATTTCAGCAATGAGGGGTAGAGTACTGTCACCCCGTGCTGCTTCAAACCACGTCACACCGGAAGTCTCTTGCCTTCTTTTTTAATTTGCATTATATATGTATTCAATTTAAGGATTAATATAAACTTACAATAAAATAAAAATATACAACTTGATTTTTAAGTCATTATTCTGTCAACTTAGTATCATAGAGATATAGTATGCTAACTATATTAAAATTAACTTATTTGGCTATATCACGTCACATTCTTTGGATAATGAAATATATTTGAGGTGAGACTGTCCTTAAAATCATTTGGAATTCCAAATATTATGAATGATGCATCCAGGGTATTGACAATAGTGGGAATATTTGATTGCTAGTTACCCTGACTACCAATCTGGAACAAATTCTAAATGGTTAAAGACCATGCTACATAGGTTATAGCTTTTTCTTCTATTAGCTTGCTCAGATGAAATCTGAAGAAGTTTTTGTTTGTTTTGCAGTAATATATAAAGATTGTTTGTGAATGGAAGCCTTATGCTAATATGGAATAATATTCTCATTAAACCTTAAATTTATCCTTTCTGCTATTTTTTTTCAAATTAATGATGGTTTTATTAGAATGCTGCTTTTATAAATTGATGTGCTCCTACATGACTTTTATCTGACTTTTCATTATTTTTTACCAAAATGAATAACTTATTCTGTTGCTTTTGAAATTACAGATGGCATTACTCTTAGTTGTCTTTTAATATATTTTATGAAAAAGAGGAAAATAATGAATAGCTTAAGTAAAGGAATAAATGAAGACATTTTTTGGCATATGCTATTTTTTAAATTTACCTTAGCTTTTCTTAATCAAAAGTATTTGTAATGCCTTGAAAACATATGGAACGAAGCCTTTGATGTAGGAACAAAACAATGTTTTGGGAGATAATGATGACCACAATTAGCAGCTTAAGATGCTGCTATTTGAAATGTTAGGTTCTATGAATTCCTGTTAAGATGTGGCTGTTAATTAATAAATTAGTCCTTTCTGAGATGATACGTACTATTAAAGGTTCTAAGAGAGAGAAAAAAAGACTGAGACAAATTACATAAAGCTATAGTTAGTAAGAATTGTGGCAGCTCTTTTACAAACTCAGATGCTTATTAAAAAATAAAACACAGTTACACTCTTTCCATGTCACTTTTTCTAAATATTATCAAACACATATAGTGATTTCTGTAACAATTTGGAGGAGAAATGGATTTTTATTGTTCTATTATGCTTTGGAAAAAAGCTTTGAGAGAGTAATACTGTATTCCTTTTGCAACAGGAATGATCTGTTCCTGAGGTGTTTGTATACTAGTATGGAGAATATTCTTTTTCTGTATATAGGGAATGGCTGTATTTTAAAGCAAAATAAACCTTAATCTTAAGAAAATAATTTATATTTTCCTTTTCATTAAAAGAGGAAGGCTCTGCAATAGCAAATGTGCATTTTTTAATTAGTGAATTTAGTAATTGCCCCAGAAATCTGGCTTCTATTAAATTATACTAATACAATATGTATAATAAATAAATACACTATTACCAGTGGTGGGATTCAAAATTTTTTACTACTGGTTCTGTGGCCTCGCTTGGGCATGGCTATGTGGTCATGTGACTGGGTGGTCATGGCTCTCCCCTCCCTTGTCTGTCTGTATGTCTGTCTATCTGTCTGTCTATCTATCTATCTATCTATCTATCTATCTATCTATCTATCTATCTAGGCAGCTTACAAACATTAAAAGCCAATAAACCATTGAAGCAATCAACAATAATAATAATAATAATAATAATAATAATAATAATAATAATAATAATAATAATAATAATAATAATAATAAAAGCTGAGGATGAAGGGAACAGGATGTGCACAGGGTGGGGGAGGAGAGGGGAGGTTTTTGAGCCAGGGAAGGTAAACCTCCCTGCATGGATAGAAAACAAGTGGGGTCTCTTCAAAGCCTTCAGGAGATAGCCACCATCATGCAATCCCAGCTCTACCTTTTCTGTCTTGCAGTCTTGATTTTTTTTTCTTTTTATGATTCCCTTATGGATCTCCCTGGAATGCAGAAGAAATTGGTTTGCTGCAAGAGGGCTATTGCAGCATAGCTTCATCAGGAATCACAAAAGAGGAGCAAAGGAAGCCTCCCTCAGAAAAACCAAAATGGGGTGTGGGAGGCTGCACCGCACCCCCTCGTGCCCAGTTTTGGGCCTAGCAAGCTTCCCTGGAGCTTCAGGAGAACCAAAACAGGGTATGGGGTGGCCTCACCACACACACAGTGATGCATCCCATTTTGGGCCTAGAAGGCCTCCATGCACTTACCTGGGAACAAAAATGGAGTGCATGGGGATTTCTGGAAGAGGTGGGGCCAGCTCATCATCGGAATTACCGGTTTGCAAAACTGAATGTAATTTTAAAATCCAGTTCGCTCGAACCAGCCCTAACTGGCTGAATCCCACCCCTGACTATTACAATAAAACAACTACTCAAACAATAAACAACTACTAGTAACTACGCTACATGGAGCCATAATTAAGCAGATAATATATTATTTCATCCTTTTCTCCAAAGGCCTTTTGAAACAATCAGATTTTTAAAATATTCCATAAAAATATGAAGGAAGCAATGTTTTTTCAGAGGAAGGGAGCACTGACAGAGAGAATGCCTGTTCTCGTGACCTTTTCCATTAAATATCTTGTATTTATTGTCCCTGTTTGCTAAATTGTTTCTTTTATAGTACTGAATAAAGGTCACCTATTGCCTACTTTTCATCTCTGTTCTTCTGTAAAAGCTAATCTTTGCTTACTGACCACTCATTAAAGATCAAAGTTGCAGTGATGCTTAGTGAGTGGTACTTACAACCAGTTGTCAAAGTTGCAGCCATTGAAGCACTCCTGCAGTCAGATGATTGCAGTTTAGGCTCTTAGTAACCAGTTTGTTTTTCTGATGGTGTCAGGCCCACCATTATGTCCTTTCATTCTTTTAGAAGGGAGAGAGGAAGCCTGGCATTTTTCGGATGCTTTCTCTTTTGCTGTACGCTTGGGAATTAGGGAGGGGGATCGTCTTCAGAGATAGAGCAGACTCCTAGCCAGTTCCAGTTCCATTGTACCCTGAGAGTGATCTGTTATCTGCCTAGCATTTCAGCATTCTGAAAACAACCTTACGGCATCAAATTGGCTGCTGGTAAACTGGCCAGAGGGTTAGATTTGGAAAAATGGAAGAATTGCTTTGTGTAGACCTTCAGTTTCTGTCTGACTTTACTTTCTTTCAGTAAAAGTTTTGATTCAATTCAATGGATCAAGAGTTTTGCTTTCTTGAAGGACCAGCTGGGGCAGGTCCTTACAAATGGTTGCAACTCCTTGTGGTCACATTATCATCATTTTCAACCTTCCCTACTAGCTCCCAACAAACAAAGTCAATGAAGAAGCTACAGGAAAGGGTGCAAGTCTATCTTTGGTAAGGCCCCCATGGCTTTCCTGTGCTCCCACTGTCCAACCCTGAT